ATATATATATATATATATATATATATATATATATAGATCTTCGTTTTCGTTTTTTTGCAAAGAAATTATATATATATATATCAACCCTCGCCCTTCACAGCCTCAGAGTCATATTTGTAAAGAAATTATAAATTCCCTCTACTAAGCTCACCAGAGGCACACATTTCTTCCCTTTCACCTTAGTGGTCACAATCCTTCATCCCGTGGGTCCTTTGCTGCATCCTGCCAGAGGTACGCATTTCTTCCATGCTTCCGATTACACTATCTACCTATGCTGCTCCGTTTAGGGTTCCCTGATTTCGTTGCTTCTGATTTTGGTTGAATTGTTTATTGTGGATGAAGGAAGAGTCGCAGAGGACGAATCTGGAATTGGAATCGTTCAAGGAGAAGATCAAAGAGAATCAGGAAAAGATTAAGCTCAATAAGCAGTTGCCGTAACTTGTTGGAAACATTGTTGAGGTAGGTTACTATGTACTGCTTCTAGTTGTTGTATGTCTATGTTATTTTCTTCTGCTCCGTAGCGATTATATGTTAATGAATTTCTTGTTCACGCCTTTTAATTTATATTTCCCATTAAAAGTAAATACAGAGCAAAAAAAGAGTGAAATTAATTCAGAGATAAAACTACAAACCTGATATATACCTTGTTTATATTATATGCCGTCAGGTAATGGCCTTCATGATTGAGCAATAAGTCCAAATTTTGGTTGACCTATAAAAGAAAAATTATGAAGGAGTGATACCGTCATAGCTGGAGAAAATTCTATTGAATGCTCCTTCGTTTTATTTAAAACAAATAAATATACTTTTAACTATCCAAGTCTTAACTCCTTGGGTTGGTCCATGTCCATACCATCATTAATTCTGTTATAGGACCTTGGATTGCAAGAGACGTTCAAACAAGTGGGGCTGCAATTGTTTATTGCTGGCTTAGTGATTCTCACTCTCAACACCTCCTATAGCAATCCTAAATCTGCTCCCTCAAGGTGAATATTTTTGCTTTCAGTCTTTCATCTCATTGCTAATATTTCCTTGTCCAGTATTTCTTTTTCTTAGATGTTTCAGTTTTATTCATGTTGACTTATATATGATATGTGTAGAACCTATTTAAGCTGCTATAGCAAACCTCGTATATGACAATGTATTAGTATAATATTGTAATGTGGAACTGTAAGAAATGGTTTGCTTGCTTGAATTACATGTTTAATTTAGTTTCTAATAATCCTATTTTAATTATTTTAAGTATGGTATTGTCCTTGCAAGATCTCTGGTTTGAGTATATGCTGTTATCAATTTTTGCAGTTAACTGCATTAGCACCTTGGGAAGGTTTTTATTTGTTTTCATTATTTCCTTTGTAAATTATTAACTTTAACATGATGTGACAGACAAAACTCTAATTACTGTTTTAAGAAGAGTATCAAATATGTCAGTATCACATTAAAACCATATTTTTTTTGCCATCATTAAGTGGTTAAGATGATGCATCAATAGCCTAAGCCTGAAAAGTTAGCAGTTAAATCTGATTAGGCTTATGTTTAGATCTAATTCCATTACCATTCAATAATAAAAATAATATAATACCTGATGGAACGGGCCTGGTTCAAGGACCAATCAATTTGGATGGTAGGACCATCAGGGGGTTACTAGAAAATAACATATGTTATTAACAAAAGCTTAACAAAATTCAAATGAAAAAAATAACGCTATACAATAAAACATAAATTAATAACAAATAATATTAAAAGAAATCATATAAATTTAAAATTCAAATAAATCTGGAATACTCATTCACATAATTACAAAATAATAAAGTAAGAAAATTCTATTAAAAAGACCCGTATAAATAATTGGAAATATTATATTTGTCACCGTATTAATTGGAAATATAAGTTGGTTCAAGGACCAATCAATTTGGATGGTTACTAGAACCGAGTAAGATTGACCCACGTATTCGTCGAGGGAGGAGTAAGTAGTTTGAAGGGTGTGTTCCTTCCACTTCTACCAGCTTTAAATTGTGGTTCTGTATACAAAAGTTAAGAGAATGTTCCAACCCCACACATCTATTATTTACGTAAAATCATGACTAATATTTTACATTGATTTGTGTTCTGTATACGAAAGTTAAGAGAATGTTGTGATGTTTTGTGTTTTGTCTTTAAGATATATAAACAATCAATGGGAACATGTTGGTTACAGGATTCAACAAGAAAGGAAGGGTGGTTGGGTTGGGAGGATATGCTAGCCGGCTGAAGCCTAGTAAGCGACCCTCTACAGTGTTTCTGCAGGTAAACTCAATGCATAGTTAATTCTTTTATGTTTTCAATCTCTATTCTATTAATATTTTATTTTAAACATTTAACTTACTGTTTTATAATAATGTATTTGCAGATGAGCTTAAAAGGATGTGTCTCACTCCCAGATTCAGGAGCAATTGCATGCTGCGACAGAGCAGCTAACTCAGCAAGCGGACTTTATGAAGCAGCAAGCTGACATTATGAAACAAATGCAAGAACAACTCCAACTTTTAATGCAGGACAAGGAAGCCAACTGCAACAAGTCGAAGGGACCGGCGCCGGATGATGACCCTGATGATGATGATGACTTTGCTAGGACTTTAGAGGCATACTAGTTGTTGTTTGTATGTTTTACTTCTTTTAGGACTTCAGAGATATATCAGATATTTTTTGATTGTTTTATTTTGTTTAGAACTTTAGAGACATTTTAGTTGTAGATTTGATGGTTGTTGTTGTTCACTTTTGTTGATATATTATTTAATTTTAATTTAATTGTTTATCTAGTATTTTTTTGGATTTTTGTTGCTCAATTTATGTATTTATGTTCATTTGGAATCATTGTTGTTTACAGGAAAATTAACAAAAGTTTAATACATTTTTTATTTTATTTTTATTTTAATTCCAGAATTTGTGGCGAAAATTTTCAAAATTCCCTTGCAAAATTCGTAGCCTTTTGCGAGGGAAAATCAAAATGTTCCCTTGCAAAATTCGTAGCCTTTTGCGTGGGTAAATCAAAATGTTCCCTCGCAAAATTCGTAGCCTTTTGCGAGGGAAAATCAAAATGTTCCCTTGCAAATTTTGCAACGGAAATTTAATACAGCCCTTGCAAATTCTGCTACGGAAATTTGCGAGGGAAATTGTACTCGCAATTTCTGTCACAATCTGCGGCGGAAAAACACTGTAGATAGGTCTGTTGTTTGCGAGGGAAATTTACTTTTTTGCAAGGGAAATTTTCCGTAGCAATTTGCGAGGGAATTGTCATATGACAAATTTCCCTTGCAAATATATTTGCGACGAGGGTTTTAGCGAGGGACCGTGTTCCCTTGCAAATTCCGTCGCAGACTGTTTTTGCAAGGGAATTTTGTTGTTTTGCAAGGGAATTTTTCCCTTGCTGATTGTGAATTTTCTAGTAGTGAACCCTAATGTCTTAGTTATTTCAACTCTTTAACCCAATTAGATCCTAGTGTCCTAGTAATTTCTCTTGAATTAAGCATTAAGCAAATGAATTAAAAGTCTGCAATCTATGTAAGCCTATGTCTAGGTCATGCACATATTGTTATTCTACCCTTGTCCAGATTAAAATTCCAATATGTCTATTGTGAGCTCTAACCCTCAAAGCCCTATAAATAGAGTGGCCAGTTCTAATTAGGATATGAAAAAATTAACACATGCATAATAAACTAACTAATTAACCTATAAAAATAGTATAGGAAATATAAAGGATTCACATTGGGTTCGTGATCCCAACTACAAAAAGAAATTAGCCAGAAATATTCATGTCTGACTTAAACAAATTAAAATAAGAAAAATTGTTCATAAAATAAAAAGAAAAGAAAAGAAGATGGAAGATCAATGTTCTTCAGTCTTTAACTTCGGTGGAATCCTGATCTCCAACGCGAGTCTCCAAGAATTCTCTCAATTCTCTGACCCTCACAATTCTCTTCAGCCAAAGATGTTTTGTCTCTAGGGTCTGAGTCTCTATTTATAGACTTTGTGTCGTTGTCTAGAATTCTTGATCAAATCTTCATCCTGTATCTTGGGTCCAATCTTTCTGATATAGATTGAGATCAGCATTAAGATTTTCCCGTACCTCCCGCGCTACTAGTGCCAATTTGGCGCTGATAGCGTGGGAGTGTTGTTCAGCATACTGCATGTTCACGCTACTAGCGTGGTTCCCACGCTGACAGCGCGGTTGGCTTGAATGGTTGGCGCTGCTAGCGCCAGTGCCGCGCTAGTAGTGTGGTGGTTCTGGATCAAGAAGTTCTTCTGGCGCTATTAGCGCCAATTCCGCGCTATTAGCGCGGGGCTTTGGGTTTGTTCTTCCATTTTAGGCTTCTTTTTGTCCTGTTTTCCTACAAAATTATAAGAAAATCAGTGACAAGATATCTGATTGAGATTTATCAATTTAATAACAATTCTAGCCCTTTTATCCAAGATTGATCAAGATTCTTTATCTTTTTGCCTTAAAATCATATATATGCTGGAAGCATATCAAACAATTCTCAGATTTGAATGTTGTTGTCCTCAGCAATGTACTAGATCAAAAATAGAAGCAAGGATATATTTTGTGAGGTGAAAAACATGGAACACAATTATCTTAAGAGATCAAACTGTTATGCATGTATAACTTCCTGTTAAAACTTCAAACAATGCTTTTCAGTTTTATCAAGAAATTGAGATTATAACTTGAATGTTCCTCACTAGATAAATATATAACTTTCTTTGGCGGGAATCCACACACATAAATGCATCATTTAATCTTCTGTAATCCACACATATCCTTCACCCAGTTATGGTTCTGGTGGGAATCAGTTCGTTGTTTTCATTCTTGATTACTGTGACTCCACCTTTCTTTGGCACTGTTTAGACAGGACTTACCCATGCAGTGTCTGAGATTGGGTAAATCATGCCGACATCTAGGAGTTTCACCATTTCCTTCCGAACTACCTTTTTCATGGTAGGATTTAATCGTCGCTGAGGCTGTCTCATTGGTTTGATGTTGTCATCAGTATTTTGTGAGTGCATAATGAAGGATTGATTCCTTTTAGATCGGAGATGGACCATCTTATGGCTGTTTGGTGGTTTTTGAGCACTTTCATCAACTTGGTTTCTTTAGTCTCAGATAACTCTTTGTTGATGATGACAGGATACGTCTCTTCATCTCCTAAGAAGATGTATTTTAGATTAGGTGGAAGCTCTTTTAACTCCACCTTTGGTGCTTCAATTGTGATGTTTGACTCTTTCTTCTTCAATTCTTCCATTGGAATTTCAGCATCTTCCTTTGGCGTATTTTCAACAAAGAATTCTTTATCTTCTTCAAGAGTCTGATGATCTTTCTTTTCAAGGAACAGTTTCTCAAGAATGTCCACTCAGAAGCAGTCGACATTATCCTCAGCGTGCTTCACAGCATTGAACACATTGATGGTGACCTTTTCGTCATCCATTCTCAGCTCCAGCTTTCCTTTCTCTACGTCAATCATTGCTCTGGTTGTGGCCAGGAATGGCCTACCCAACAGAAGAGGCATGTCTCCTTCTTCTTCCAGTTCGAGGACCACGAAGTCAGCAGGGAAGATGAACTTGTCTACCTTAACAAGTACGTCTTCAATTACTCTGTTTGGTTTTCTCAATGTTCTCTCAGCAAGTTGGAGAGACACCATAGTAGGCTTCAGCTCAGAAATTCCAAGAGACTTCGTCACAGAAAGTGGCATGAGGCTGATGCTTGCTTCAAGATCGCACAATGCCCGACCAACATTAATGTTTCCTGTCGTTATCGAGATGTTGAAACTCCCTGGATCTCGAAGCTTCGGTAGAAACTTTTTCTGAATTATAGCACTACACTCCTCTGTAAGAGCCACTATTTCAAATTCTTGCAACTTATATTTTCTAGACAAAAGATCTTTCATAAACTTAGCATAGTTAGGCATGTTAGCTAAAGCTTCAGCAAAGGCAATATTAATTTGCAACTTTTTAAATATTTCTAAAAACCTGGCATGTTGTTACTTTTGTGCATACTGCTTTAACTTTATGGGATATAGTGGTTTCTCAAAACGAGAGAAATCTCATTGCTTCTTTGAAATCTGTGCAGCTTTCTCCTTTGCTTCTTCTTTGTCTTTTGTTGCAGGTTCTTCGGTTGCAGGTATCTCCTCCTCTTTTTCTTGTTCTGGTTCAATAACTGGTTTGTCTGCTTTCTTTTTCTGAACCACTTTTTTTTCTTGAGGAGTGATCGTAATTCCGCTTCTTGTAACAATTGACTTGCATTCTTCTCGCGGATTGACTATTGTGTTACTTGGAAACTGGCCTTTAGTCCTCTCTTCTAGTTGTCTTGATAGTTGGCCGATCTGGCTCTCCAAGTTTCGGATAGAAGCATCCTGATTTTTGTGATGGGCTCTTGTCTTATTTATGAAATTGTTAGTGGTTCTGGAAAGTTGCAGCATCGCTTTCTCCAATTCAGATGGCTCCTTTTGTGGGATAGGAGGAGGTTTAAGTAATTGTTGGATTTGTAATTCAACCCTCCCCCTTGAACCCTCTTTTGGAAGTTGTTTCCTGGAGCATTGTTCTGGTTTCTCTGGAAGTTCTGTTGTGGTCTTGGATCATACCAGACTCCATTAACTTGGAATGCATCAACTCCTACAAGTGTTGGACATTCGTTGGTCTCATGCTCTCCTTTGCAATACTCACATTTAACTGAATTAACTTGAGCTTTAGAAAGTTGCATCTTGTCCAATTTAGCATTTAAACTGGCAAGCTTTTGAGATACGATTTTTTGTTCAGCTAACGATGCATCATCATTTCCCAATTACAGAAGTCCCTTTTTTGGTTGAACTGGTTGAAATGCCATTGATGTGTTCTCGTTCCTGTCCATGAAGTCAATCAGCTCTAAGGTTTGAGTTGCTGTTTTCTTTCCTATGGTTCCACCGGCTGCACCATTGACCACTATTTTGGAGTCTGGTGTCATTCCATTGTAGAAGACTCTGACTTTCTTTTCGTCTGACAAATCGTACTGGGGGCACTTTCTGATCAGTTCTTGGAATCTGGTCCAAGCTGCGCACAACGTCTCTCCTTGTTGTTGAGTGAAGTTGGTGATTTCATTCACCAACTTGTTGTATTTCTCCCTGGAAAAGTGCTCTGCGAAGAAGTTGGCTGCCAGATCATCCCATGTTCTGATGCTGTTGGGAGCTTGTCTATCCAACCATCTGAGAGTTTTCCCTGTTACAACAAAAGGGAACAGTCAGAGTCTAATTGCATCATCTGACACCCCGTGATGCTTGGTTGTATAACATATTCTTATAAATATATCAATGAAATCATGGGGTCTTCATAATCTTCCCCACCAAATGGATTCTTCTCCACCAAGGATATCAGTGTTGGCTGGATATCAAAATTATTAGCGTTTATTGGTGGTCTGACGATGCTTGAATTTGGCCTAGTAAAAAGAGGAGCTAGGATTGACTACATAAATTTTTCCTCCGGTGGTGGATTAGGTGCTGCCATATCGGGTTCTGCTTTTGGCTCTGAACTCGAGGATTCCTCTTTCTTCCTTAGCTTGGTTAATTTTCGATTCTTCTTTGCAGTCTTCTCGATTTCTGGATCAAAGTGTAAAGTGTCTCGGTCAACTTTACCTCGCATAAAAGAGAGAAATCAATTAGTAACAAAACAAAAATAAAATTCCAATCTCAAAGATCGAAAGTTAAAACTAATATTGGCGTAATTAATCCCCGAAAACGGCGCCAAAAACTTGTTGCGAAATCAGCAAGTATACCGTTCGTTTAAAGTAATAAAAGTGATAAGTAAAGATCGTTCTTTCGAGGATTAATGCACCAATAACTAAGTTTAACTATTCCCCTTGATTTGGAAGAAAAATAGGTTTGATTGTGAATTTAATTGATTGCCGTAATTTAGAAACAGAATTTTAAAAGCAATTAAATTCAAACGCATGCAAGAATAAAAAGAATGACAAGAAATTATGAGATTGAGTAAAAATTGTGAAAAGACTGTAGCCAGGATGCACTTCACCTCCGATCATCCCTTATATTCCTATATTGTATTTTATAATTAACTAATTTGTTTGCTCAGACAATTCATTATTTCCCTATAAATTAGTTGAACCCTAATGTCTTAGTGATTTCAACCCTTTAGCCCAATTAAAATTCTAGTGTCCTAGTAATTCCTCTTGAATTAAGCATTAAGCAAATGAATTAAAAGTCTGCAATCTATGTAAGCCTATGTCTAGGTCATGCACAAATTGTTATTCTACCATTGTCCAGATTAAAACCCCAATATGTCTATTGTGAGCTCTAACCCTCAAAGCCCTATAATTAGAGTGGCCAGTTCTAGTCAGGATATGGAAAAATTAACACAGGCAGAATAAAACAAACAAACTAATTAACTTATAAAAATAGTATAGGAAATATAAAGGATTCACATCGGGTCCGTGATCCCAACTACAAAAGAAAATTAGCCAAACATATTAAAATAAGAAAAATTGTTCATAAAATAAAAAGAAAAGAAGAAGAAGATGGAAGATCAATGTTCTTCAGTCTTCAACTTCGGTGGAATTCTGATCTCCAGCGCGAGTCTCCAAGAATTCTCTCAATTCTCTGATCTCACAATTCTCTCCAGCCAAAGATGTTTTGTCTCAGGGGTCCGAGTCTTTATTTAAGACTCTGTGCCGTTATCTAGAATTCTTGATCAAATTTTCATTGTGTATCTTGGGTCCAATCTTTCTGATATAGTCTGAGATTAGCTTTAAGATTTTCCCGTACCTCCTGCGCTACTAGCGCCCGTTTGCCGCTGATAGCGTGGGAGTTTTGTTCAGCATACTGCATGTTCACGCTACTAGCGTGGTTCCTACGCTGACAACGCGGTTGGCTTGAATGGCTGGCGCTGCTAGCGCCATTGCCACGCTAGTTCCACGCTAATAGCGCAGGGCTTCAGGTTTGTTCTTCCAATTTGGGCTTCTTTTTGTCCTGTTTTCCTACAAAATTATAAGAAAATCAGTGACAAGATATCTGATTGAGATTTATCAATTTAATAACAATTCTAGCCCTTTTTATCCAAGTTTGATCAAGATTCTTTATCTTTTTGACTTAAAATTATATATATGCTGGAGGCATATCAGAAACCACAGAAGTAGAAATCCTTGGCTATAAAGAGGTTTCGCAAAATAAAATTACCGAAGACTAAAAGGAGTTAGAAGATTACACATGATTAAGAAACTCAAATAAAAATAAGCATCTCTTATGGACAATAAATTAAGGAAAAAATGTTTATCTTTTTAAATGACATAATTTATATCCGTTCACTCTCACAAAGAAGTGAGACTCACATTTTTATTTTTTTGTCAACTCTCTCTCATCCTTTATTTATCTCTTTCTCTCTCTTAAAATGACACAACTTTACATTCTTTAAAATGAGACACACTTTTTCCATAAATTAAATGGATAACAGGAAAAGGTTAAAAGTAAAGTAAATAAGCTACTTTGGAGCACAACATTAACCTCCAAAAACACAAAAAATATCACGAACACAAATTTAAGCTAAAAAAGAACAAACTGATATTCATTAAACAGAATTAGAAGTCGGTAACAAAAATATAACAAGACAAATCAATCTCCATTGGTAGCAAGCAACCATCTTTTGTGTCCAAATTACAGAAGCTATATTAACACGCATAAAATAATTTTATCTCCTACAACATAAGAAATAATAAACCCATAAACTTTTTTTTTTTGGTAAACATAAACCCATAAACTTAACATTGAATATGGTTACATTTGGAATTCATCAAAATGTTTTGTTTTTTTGGAAAAGCATCTATTCTTTTAAATGATATAATCATATGTCATTTTAGATCCTAACAATTGATATTCATCAATCAACAGTTATAATTTATTGGATCAAAATTATTAATTAATTAATAATAAGTTTGGCCCATTAAGTTTGACCCAATAAATTATAACCGTTGATGGACGGAAATTAACGGTTAGAATCTAAAATTACATATGATTATATCATTTAAAAGGATAAATGTTTTTCTTTTTTTTTAAATAAATTGACATTCAGATAATTTTTATTGTTTATTTGATGCACGTAATAATGAAGCTTTGTTGTTCTTTTTTCAATATTCTAGTTACTTTAAAATTGTAATTAAAATGTTAAGTTTACTTGTTGTATATTACTAGGTTGCTGATTATTGATTCTGAATTTTGGTTGGTATCGAATATCAAATTTTTTTTAGGAGTGAATCTAATTAACATGATCATGTCATGTGGGTCAATTATAACCATACATATATGGATGAGTTAATGATAATAATAGAAAAGAAAAGAAAAATATAAAAATAAGAAGTCACACAATTATCACCGTTAATTTAATTATTAATGATTAAAATTTTACTACGTAAACATGATCATGTTAAATTACATATATCCATTTCCAATTTTTTTTTGATTCGCACAAAATTAGTCAAAGTACCCTATTATCTCCTGGGACTTCCCAACACGGGAACAACCCAAACCCAAACCCAAGTCGCCAAAATCCTTAAACACTTCGCGGCACACACAGCACTTACCAACAAGAGCAAAGCAACGTAGCCAACCCATGAAACCTTGTTTTTGTTTTGTCGAATTTGGATGGATTTGAATCTCCATTGTGATTGATGCCAGAAGAAGATCTAGCCGTCCAATGTTGGCCTTCTCCAAGTTTAGGAAAGCATTCGGATTCCGCCGAAACCTCAGAATGTTTTCTGTTCCGTCCGAGGAACTTGTCTCCCCTGACCCGCAACTGGGTCTCCGTTTCTGCATCTTGGTGGCACTCAAGTTCGGAGCTTTTCGCTCCCAACAATACTTTAAATTGGTGAGTGAGATCCTCTGCACTAACAATTGGTTTTCCCTTTACTGGGAAGCTCTTGAGCTGCTTAAGAAATCTGGGGTTTTGATAACTTCTGAATCAGTTAGAGCTTTGATTAGAGCGTATTCCCAGATGGGTCTCACCGAGAAGGCTGTAGAGATATTTGGTAGAATGCGTGAATTGGATTGTATGCCTGATGATCGTGCCTATAACACGATTTTGAGAGAGGTGTTGAGGAAAGAGTTATTTTTGCTGGCTTTTTCTGTGTATAATATGATGCTTAAGTCCAATTGTTGTGCTGATGAATATACTTATAACATGTTGATTGATGGGTTTTGTAAAAGTGGGAACATTAAGGGTGCACTTGAGATGCTCGATGAGATGGACCATAGGGATATATTGCCGGGTGTTATAACGTACACCTCCATTCTTTCTGGTCTGTGTCAGGGGAAGAAGGTAGATGAGGCACATAGGTTGTTTAATGTGATGAAAGAAAGAGGATGCCGGCCTGATTTGATTTCTTATAATGTTCTACTTAATGGGTTTTGCAAGATGGGGAGGATAGATGAAGCTGTTTCGTTTCTGCGGTTGTTAGGGAGGGATGGATATGCCCTTCAGCGAAACAGCTATAGTTCTCTGATTGATGGCCTTTTTAGGGCTAGGAGATATAATGAAGCGCATTCGTGGTACACGAGGATGTTAAAGGAGGGCATTATGCCTGATGTTGTTTTGTACACTATTATGATACGTGGTTTGTCGGAAGAGGGAAAGGTTGGTGAAGCTGTCAAGATGTTGGATGAGATGACTCAGAGAGGCTTGGTTCCTGATGCTTATTGTTACAATGCATTAATTAAAGGATTCTGTGACATTGGTTTTTTGGATCGAGCACGATCTCTTCAACTTGAGATTTCTGAGCATGATCAGTTTCATAATACTTGCACGTATACCATTCTCATCTGCGGCATGTGTACGAAAGGAATGATTGGGGAGGCACAGGAAATATTTAATCAGATGGAGAAGCTTGGGTGTTTTCCTTCAGTTGTGACTTTCAATGCTCTTATAAATGGACTGTGCAAGGCTCGTAAACTTGAGGAGGCACGTCTTTTATTTTACAAGATGGAGATTGGGAGAAGTCCTTCTTTATTCTTCCGACTTTCTCAGGGTTCTGATCGAGTTTCAGATAGTGTTAGTCTACAGAAAAAAGTGGAGCAAATGTGTGAGGCTGGACAAATTTTGAATGCTTACAAGTTTCTCGTGCAACTTGCTGATAGTGGGGTTGTGCCCGATATTATGACATACAACATTCTAATCAACGGCTTTTGCAAGGATGGCAATATGAATGGTGCTTTCAAGCTTTTCAAGGATCTGCAACTCAAGGGGCTCTCACCCGATTCTGTTACTTATGGGACACTTATTGATGGGCTTTACAGGGCTAACAGAGAAGAGGATGCCTTTAAGATTCTTGAGCATATGTTGAAGCATGGGTATGAACCTAGCTTTGCAGTTTATAAAGCACTTATGACTTGGTTGTGTAGAAAGAGGAAGGTCTCACTGGCCTTCAGTCTTTATTTGGAATATCTGAAGAAACTTCCTGGCCAGGAAGATGATTCGATCCACGCTTTGGAGGAATTTCTTGTCAGAGGAAAAGTGGAACAAGCAATTCGAGGTTTACTAGAATTGAACTTCAGGTTTAGAGATTTTGATTTAGCTCCATATACGATTCTACTTATTGGATTCTGTCAGGCAGGAAAAGTAGATGAAGCATTAATTGTATTTTCTGTTCTTGACGAGTTTAATATCAATATCAACCCTCCAAGCTGTGTATATTTGATAAAAGGTCTCTGTGCCGAAGGGAAGCTGGATGAAGCAGTAGACATCTTCCTTTACACGCTTGACAGAGGTTTCATGTTGGGGGCAAGAATTTGTAACCGGCTCCTCGAGTGTCTTCTTCTTTCTCCAGATAAAAAGGAGTATGCTATTGATCTTATTGATAGGATGAAGTGCTTTGGATACCCTTTAAGATCATTTCATTATCGCGACACAATGTCCCTTTTACATCAGTTACAGGGAAGGATGAGCAATAAAAACTGGTTCTCATAAGAGATTGAATAACACTGACTGGTCAAGATGAATGAGTTTCTTTATTTAGCTCTTCAGTGCATATCCCCATTAAGGAAAGTGGTTACGAATCAGGAGACTTGCCACACTTTCTGATGAACCGAAGGTACCCCTTAATCCTTATGTATATGTTGAAAGTTAAATTATGTCTTTCCTGAGTTACAGTAGAATAATTATAGGGTTCAATGGATATGTATATTCTTGCATGCCTGCCCTTAGTGGTTTAACTTTAGAATAGGAAATGGATCATTTAGAAATAACACAGAAATATAAACACTTCATATCTCTGAATTTTCTTTATTGCTGAAAGAATTTGAAGAGCCATTAGGACAGTTGGTTTGATGAAATAGAGACACCCAATTTCACTTGGTCTTTTGGTCTCTCTTTGATCTGAAATACCCACAAAGTTTCTTGTTTTCTTTTTTCTTTGGGTTTTTGTAAGCTCTTTCACCCTTCTTCCCTTGTTGGCATCTGTTTTTGGGAACTTTATGGTTCATTTGTGCATAACCCAATATGGCATTTGAGAGTGTGTTGTACTAACTTGTCGGGTTTTTGTCAAATTTAGAATTACTTGCATAGACTAAAAGTAAGATTTTCAGAATAATGCTAATGATTGGGAGTCCTACCACCAGTATCTTACCATTACTACTTGGGCTTCTTTGCTCAGACAACTTGAAGTCTTTCGCTTTTAACTTTTCTTCTTTTATTATTTCACCTCTTTGACTCCAAGTTTTGCTCAGAGAATTCAAGGTGTTTCAAGTTGCTGGGTTTTGGAATTTGGGCACAAAATAAGTTATGCATTTTTTTTGCTTCTTCTTAGTGAATAATTTGTTTCTAGTAATATGTTCTTGATACCAATTCCTTATCTTCTTCTTAGCTATTGTCACCAAGTGATGTCTTCTTTGTCTTCTGGGTAACTTCTGTCTGCTTGATTGGGTCAAAATGATGATCATAGATAGGTCTCTCTAGTCTGTAGGTTATTTTTTTTTTGGATAAACTACAGGTATTCTCCAAGGGAGGCAATCTTGTAGTTTTTAGGTTATTTTGTTATAGGGGAAAGGAGGCTTTCTTTTACTCATGAAATTACAGGCTTTGAAAATTCTTTCCTTTGATTTTTTTTTAATTTCTCTACTTTTTTAGTCTGAAGTTTAAAATGATTGCTTTTCTACGAATGGGTTCCTGAAAATTTCTAGAAGTGCAGTACATTGGGTTTTCATCTTGATTTTGGATTCTTATGCTTGTCTTGTTTTGCCTATTTTGGATTCTTATGCATTCAAAAAAGATATTATTGTTTGTTCGACTCCTTGGCATGATAATTTCATTCTGTAGATTATAAATAGTAGTACATATGCTGCAGTTGGTATTGAGGTTTTAAGCTGGCTTTTTTTTTTTTTTTTTTGTATTCCGTCTAAATTTCAGTGTTCTGTTTATTTGTTCTTATTGGTTTTATGAGAATAATATATATTGCTTATAGAGTGAGTCGGAGGTCAGGTTCCAAACATTTATCCACTTTCAAGTCTGGGCATCTAAATGCCATGTTACACCGAGTTTTCTGGTACAAATAATTATGCCTTAAGCATTAAGCCTAAACTCTGGTCTAGATATGAGGATGTGGTAGAAACTAAATTTGAAATTGGACTTCTATCCCCAGTCTTGACATATTATAGAAACTTTTACAGGCATCTTGTGCTTTTAGGTTTGTTAAGTGGTTATTCGGGGTGCATAAATGTATGGGCACAAGTTGTATTGAGTCTCAGGCAAATGAATAAATGAAAAAAGAAGAACATATATCTGATGTGAGCTTTGTGGGCAATAAATCTGCTAGGAATGGTGACTGCATTTTTTTGTTATAGTAAGGCACACAATTGCACAAATCCTAAATATAGCATTCAGATTGCAGTTCTGGTTCCAATTACCATTTTGATGTAACTCATTGGAGTTTAACCAAATGAAATTTTAAGGCAAGACAAAAGAAGAAAAACTAATGAAGTTTTTTAGCATGAAGGTTTGTGTGCCAGAAAATATTTCATATTCCTTTCAATCTATAGTCCTGCATGAACTTTAAGGAAAATGGCTTGGCTTTGAAAAGATTTAAATAATTTCTACTTATTTTGGAAAAAGTGCATAGAACCACTATAAACTTTATGTCTTTAGCAAATAGGCAACTTCAACTTTAATTTCGTCACAATTAGTCCCTAAACTCTAGCTATTGTTATAATAGGTCATTCTTTTAACTTAGGATTAACTTACTAGCGGTGAAGGTGAATTAATCCTTACCGTTCATCCTTATCAACCTTACCGTTCATCCTTATCAAATCTAAACCCAGATTCATATTTTTTATTTAAAAATCCTAATGTTTCTTATTTTTGTTGGTCTAGGAGAAGAAGATGATGTCTCGAGTTTTGTTTTTTAATCTTTTCTTAATTTTAAAAATTAAAAATATAAGATAATATGATTCTTTAATTAAAAATATGAATCAATGGTTTAGATTTAATAAGGATGAACGTTAGGACTTAGGATTTATTCATTGTCAGTAAATTTATCCCATGTTATCAGAAGGACCTATTGTAACAACAATTGGAGTTTAGGGACTCATTGAGACGAAGTTAAAGTTGAAGGTGCCTATTTGCAAAAGGCATAAAGTTTAGGGTGGCTCTATGAACTTTTCCCTTTATTTTTTTGATCAATATTGGGGAGCATACAGCTCAAACAACTCACTCAACTTCTGTTGCTGTTGCTGTTGCAATCAGCTTTTCTCGATCAATCTAGTTTGCCTTGCCCTTACTGGGGATCATGGATTAAATACAATGACCTTGGCTCCTTAGACATGCTGAATTATAGTGCTTTAGTTTAGAAAGCTTACCAAGATAATGTTTTTGAAAATGTGTTCATATTCTTTCACTGAAGGCTGTCAATCTGTCATTATGTCTTATATAAAGCCACTAATTAGACCACAACTTAAAGTGCCAGGCAGCCCTGGAGCCATAAAACTGGCTGAGTGACTACTAGATTGGATGAATTTGGAAATAACCTGTATCTTGGAGAAAAATGTATAAGTGTTCACTGAAGAATTTAATTAAGATGCAACCATTAGATATGCTTTGCATTCATGCTAGTTGTGAAGTGGATCCATAATCAAGTAAACTGTGATGTGCTCTATTGGGATGTAAAATTAATTCCTTAATTAATGACTTGGGCATACATTGTCTTCTGCTTTCATTTTGATTTGATTTGTCGATAATTTTATTGCTGTGCATAATCCGAATTATGATGTTTCTCATGGACCATTGTGATTATGTTCATTTTTATTATTTAAGAATTGATCCTGCTCTAATAGCTCCGAAAAACTTTAGTTCATGCATTAAGATATGAAAGCCTTTTATTCCACAACAATGAAATCGTCTTTTCTCACTTTTGCATGCACGGGGATTTCACTTGGGAACAATGTTCCATATTGATTGATTCAGGTCCTATAACTTTGGGTTCTAATGTACATGATCTTGTAGCACTTACCTGTGAGGGTCTAACGATTAGTATTATATAAAAGGAATAAATTATAGACAAAAACTTAATTAGGTCTGCATCTGCTCTTAAATTACAAAGTCGGATTTCCAATCCCAGGTAGGATTCATATAGGGTCGTGGGATCATTTTCTACTAGATTTATTAATGTGTAAAATGCATTGAAGATGTTGGGAAATTATTGATGCCAATATGCTTGACAATTTTTTTAACTTTTTCCGGCGCTGGTGTTGCGGCATCAATTTCTTTTGCTTTTGTGCTCTGCATGCTTGTCATTGCATACTGTATATGACCCTTCAGTTAAGGTTTTTCTGGTTGTTGTATGCTTCAGTATATTCTACCTATATGCCAAGAGCCTCTGGGAAAACATTGGCAAGGAAGAGGAAAAGAAGATTGCCATTGTCCATATGAGGATTCAATGTGGTGATATCTTGCATAATGTACACTGGCGGGCAAGGGCGTATTTTTCGGTGTTTACCTTTAGGGGCATACCGAACAGATCTTTTTTCAGATATGCATGATGCAAGGCGACAAGAGAGTCAATGTTATAATTATTTATTAATTACATAATTTAAATTCAATTTTGAAAAGGTGATTCCGACCATGAAAATGAGGCTGTGAGGGGACTGAACATACTAAGAAGTTGCCCAAAGTTATTTACTACTTTCGTGAAGCTTCAAGGTTTGGGTCATTTTGGATGGACTCCGGTTTATGTTGTCATCCACTAACCTGTTGCAAGTGTCGTTGTTCCTCTGTATGTGTGCAGTTATATCTTCATTCTTGAGTATTCAGGTTAGTTAATCTTCTGTCCCCTGATACAAACTGTAGTTTTCATTATTACCATTTCCGTTGATAGAACATGTGGAAAATTATGTATAATTAATAAAGCTCTACTGAAATTTTTTCTGCCGTCTTTGTTCTTCCCCTGATTCTCTATAGGACTGAGTAAATGAAAAGGAAAATCTAAAAGAGTGACTCTTCTGTTGAGTATCCCAGTCCAATCATGCCTTTTTTTTCAAAATAGTTTGCATCAATAATAAATGTCTCCTTTAATTTCTATCTTAAATCCTTGTCCTGCACAACTCATTAACTACTGTCTATGGTCTATTTATACAGAGCTACACTGTTTGTATACTGAATTCTTGAATTGGTTCTTGTCATTAGAACTCACTTTATGGTCTTCAACTCGTGGGCTATTTACAAGGATTTAACATTTCTGTGTCAGATATAGAGGGTGCAGAGCTTTGATGCACTCATGTTAATACCTAATTTTTTTTTGGTGGTTACTTGTTAGCCACTTAGCCTTATTATCAGGTCTTATCCTCCTCCTCTGTATTCCTTTTATTCTCCAATGAAATTTTTTATTGAAAATAATTGATCTTGATATCGCCTTCCCTTCAAATTAAATATGGAATCATTTTATAACACTTGAAAACGGAAGGATAATATTATTTGAATTGTGTATTACAACTGTATAAGAGCTCTTTATTTAAAGGGGCCCAAAGAAGATTCTAGAATAGAATTAAATAATAAATAAAATAAATAATTGCAATTATTTACAACACTTCCCCTCAAGTTGAGGAATAGATATTTATCATTCTCAGCTTGCTAGAAAGCTCTTGAAACCTTTCTGATAGAAGTCCCTTTGTTAGAATATCAGCTAATTGACGTCCAGAAGGAATGTATGGAGTGATGATCAACCTGCTATCAAGCTTTTCTTTAATAAAATGGCGGTCGACCTCAATGTGCTTAGTCCGATCATGTTGAACTGGATTATGAGCTATACAAATGGTGGACTTATTATCACAAAACAGCTTCATAGGTCCTTCACATGTTATTTTGAGATCATCAAGTATAATTCTCAAACACAATAATTCATAAATGCCTTGAGCCATAGCTCGAAATTCAGCTTCTGCACTCGATCTGGCAACCACATCCTGCTTCTTACTGCTCCATGTCACTAAGTTACCATAAAGAAACATACAATAACCAGTGGTAGATCGACGATCAGTAATGGATCCAGCATAATCGGCATAAGTATAAACTTTTAAAGAGAGATTGCCATCACCCCGGAACAACAGTCCTTTACCAGGGTGTGGCTTTAAGATACTGAAGAATTCTCTTCACTGCCTGCATGTATTTTTCTTTTGAAATATGCATGAACTGAGTCACAATACTAACAACAAAGCTAGGTCTGGTCTAATATGAGCCAAATATATCAGTCTCCCAACTAGCCGTTGATATTGTCCTTTATTAATTGGGGAACTCTCCTCTTCATAACCCATCTTGTCATTTTGCTCAATAGGAGTACTAGAGGGTTTACATCCAAGTTTTCTTGCTTCTTTAAGAAGATCAAGGACATATTTTCTCTGGTTGATAAAAATTCCTTCCTTTGAATGAGCTACCTTTATCCCTAGGAAATATCTCAATCTCCTATGGTCTTTAATTTCAAACTCAGAGGCTAATCGTGCTTGTAGAATATGTCTCCCCGCAATATCATCGCCTGTTATAATAATATCATCAATATACATAAGGAGCACAGTGAACTTCCCATCTTGAGAGTGCTTAAAGAAAAATGTGTGATCTACTTGACTCTGTTTGTATCCCAAGGTCATCGTAACCTTAGTAAATTTTCCAAACCAGGCACGAAGAGATTGTTTCAATCCATACAAGGCCTTTTTTAACCTGCAAACTTTATTTTCTTCATCCATAGAGTCAAAACCAGGTGAGATTTTCATGTAGACCTCTTCTTCTAAGTCACCATTAAAGAAAGCATTCTTCACATCAAGTTGATTCATATCCCAATTGTAATGGGTAACAAGGGACAACAAGACTCACTATATTCATCTTTGCAACTGGGGTAAAAGTTTCTTCATAATCAATGCCATAGGTCTGAGTGTAACCCTTGGTGACTAACCGAGCTTTATATCTCTCAAGAGTACCATCAAAATTATATTTTAGGGCATAAACCCATCTGCAGCCTACTATTTTCTTTTCATCAGGTTTATCATCAACCTCCCATGTTTTATTTTTCTCCTAGGCATTCATCTCCTCTTTCATGGATTGAGCCTAATTCTCATCTTTTGATGCTTCATGTACTGTGCATCTCCTTGCAATCTATTACTTGTGACAAGGCATCAGCTACACTGTTCTCTACTCCTAGTTTATAGTGGATCTCAAAATCAAATCCAAGGAGTTTAGCCACTAGTTTTTGTTGTCCTTCTGCCATGAGACGCTTCTTTGTTAGATATCTCAAACTTTTTTGGTTTGTTCTTATGATAAATTTCCTACCCATGAGGTAATGTCGCCACTTGTGTACCGGAAACACAATAGACTTAAGCTCTCCCTCATATACTGATAAAGACATCCATTCTTGAACTGAAAACTTGGCTAAGAAAAGCTAAGGGGCGACCCTGCTGCGTGAGGATAGCCCATATCCCTGTCCCGGATGTATCCGTTTCTACTTCAAAAGTCTTGGAAAAATCCGGTAATTCCAGCATTGGTAGTTGCATCTTGGCCTCATTCAACTTGTCAAAAGCCTTTTGAGCCTTTTCTCCCCATTTGAAGCTATCCTTTTTGAACAATTAGGTCAAGGGTCTTGCCATCTATTTATAGTTCTTAACAAATCTTATATAGTACCTTGTATGTCCAAAAACATCTCTCACACCCTTGGCATTCATAGGAGCTGGCCAATTTTTAATTGCTTCTACCTTACTTGGATCAGCTTTTACCCCCACTTGAGATCACATGACCCAAGTAGTCCAATTCTCGTTGACCGAAGTTGTATTTTTTATAATTAACAACCAATTGATTCTGTCTAATCACCTTCAAAACTTGTGTGATGTAGGCAGTGTGCATTTCTACTGTGCTATCGTATATCATAATACCATAAAAAAAACACAAATTTCCTTAACTATGGCCTAAAAATTTCATTCATCAAAGCTTGGAACGTAGAAAGGCCATTTTTCAGCCCAAAGGGTATTACAAGATACTCGTAATGTCTTTTATGGGTCCAAAATGCAGTCTTTTCAATGTCTGTTTCACACATTCTGATCTGATTATATCCCAATTTTAGATCTAACTTAGAAAAAATGGCTGCTCCTCCTAACTCATCTATCAGTTCGTCTATAATAGGAATAGGGAATTTATCAATTATTGTTACCTGATTAAATGCCTTAATCCACACAGAAACGCCAACTTTTGTCTTTCTTTTTCACAAGGATGGGTGGACTGGAATAAGGACTTATACTTGGCCAAATTAACCTTGCGGACAACATTTCTCGACGAACTTTTCAATCTCCTCCTTCTGGTAGTGAGGATATCTATATGGTTTTTTTATTAGGAATAATTTCCCCTTCCTTCAAGACAATCCGATGATCACATGCTTTTGCGGTTGGAAGACTGTTGGGTTCTCTGAAAAGATCTTGAAATTGCTGGATAGCCATAGTAATCTCGAGAGACATTTCTAACTGCCCGTGTTCCTTCCCTTCCATCAATCCCAATTCTATATAAAATGCATTTGCTCCATTTTTTCAAATTTTCCCTAATTTTCTTCCAGATACCTTGCTGCAAGACAGTTCTGGATCACCCCTTATCTCCACAATTTTATCTCTGCTAGGTACTTTAACAACTAGCTCTTTAAAATTTGCTTTAATTTCCCCCAAGCTTGCTAGCCATGCGAAGCCTAAGATCACATCCACTCCCCTTAAAGTAAACAAGAAGAAATCTTGAACAATCATCAGGTTTGGTAGTTTCAATACCACTCCACAACACATGCCCTTAAAACATCACCCATCTCTACTGAAAAACCGTTGTGTTGTCAATGGGTAGCCTGATCCTTTGTGCCATTTGTGTTGCAAGAAAGTTGTGTGAGGCCCTTGAGTCAATAAGCATTGTCTCCTTCGTACCCTTAATTTCACCCTAGACCTTCAACGACCTTTTCGACATTAGTCCCACTACGCTATGGACACTCAACCTAAAAGACTCGCCATCTGCATCTTCTCTTCTTAGAACCTTTTCTCCTTCCTCCTCTGTAACATCTTCTCCGGTGCCCAAAATCATCACATAAAGATTTTGGTTTTGACATACATGATTCAGGGAGAAAAGAGCATCGCGTCTAAAGCACAAATTTTTGCGCCGTTTATTTGCCATCTTATTCGCCATCAACCACTGAAACCGGGTCGAAGGCCATTCATCTTGTGGAGCCGTTGCTCGTCCCCAGAGCCGTCTCATTTCTTTCCAGGTTTCCGTTCGGTTTTTGTGTGGTTGCCCCTTATATCGAGCCTCGGGTTCGCACCATGTTGGTTAAGGTATTGGCCCGTTTCATGGGCCAACCCCTCTCATATTGGACCTTTGTGAACTGAAGAAGGCTCCTAGCCCATTTCGCGTCTCTCCAACATTAAGTTGACTTGGATTTTGGGCTCTGTTGGGTAAGGCGACCTAAGTATATTAACTCAACCCATTACCCACTCCTCCACCTGGCCCACTTCCCCATCAACCCAATCCCTTCTTTTCTCTTCCCCTCACCATTTCTCATTCGTCCACTCTCTGTTCCAGCACCATCATCCTCTCTAAGTTGTTCATAGCATGTAAACGCACTTCTGCCCTGATCTCATCCCTGAGCCCATTTAAGAACATCACGGTCATCACTTCGTCGTTGACGTGGCGTAATGACGAGGCCAACATCTCAAAACTCTCCCTATATTCAGCAATCGTGCTAGACAGTTGGAGGCACATAAGTTCTTTATAAGGGTTCCCTGAGGAAGATGAATGGAAGCGTTGAAGCAAGGCTGCCTTGAACGAATCCCAATCCATTGTGGCATTTCATGGTTCCCACTTCCCACCATTGAAACCACCTCAAAGCTCTACCTTCAAGACATATCGAAGCGATTTCCACCTGATCCTCCACTGGAATCTGATACACCCGAAAATACCGTTAAGCCCTATAGACCCAACAGAATGGATCTTCCCCCATAAAATATTGAATTTCCAGACGTCTCAGCCACTCTGTCTCTTTGGTGCCCCCCATGATGTGAGGTTCGCTCCTCATTCTCTCCCTCTCCGTTACCATCTCCCATTCCTTGATCAACTCGATTCAAATACTCCAACAGAGTAGTTTGCAGTTGCCACAAGGTTTGTTCCAACCCACCCATCCTCTGTTACATGTTGGTTACTCGTTCCTCCATTGTTCCATCGTGGATGACAGCTCCAAGGATTTAGAGTTTTGATACAAAAAAATGATGGACCTTGAAATAAAAGCTATTATATTAAGAAACGAAAGTTCTGGAGACAAAGCTCCTTACAAATGGCTTCCACAATTAAAAAGGAAAATTCTAGTCACGTAAGTAGACCAGCACCACCACTCAAGGCGAAGACAGCCTGTTCACCCTATACAAGACTTGCAAATGCAAAACAGTGACACTGAGACCTGGCTTGCTAGCATCTCCCCCCCTTCCTAGTAGCCACCAACTCAGAATTACAAACAACTTGTCCTCTCTCCGCCCACCTATCCCTTCTTTTTATGCTTTTTGTCATTCTATTTTGTCTTCTTCTCCAGCTTCCGCAAGCCACATGTCCTGTTTACCCAATAGCTCTTTTTTTTTTTTTTTTGAAAAGTACCAATAGCTCTTTTTCACTTGCTTGGATTGGTTCATTTGGCAGCCCATTAGCTAGCCCAATCTCCTTTGCAAATTTCTTTCTTTTTCCATATACTTGTTTAAATGGCTCAACAATTAATAAAATAGGGATTTGAAAATTATATTAATCATGGATTGTTGATAATCTGTCTATAACATAACCTTCATAACTATATATTAGTAGCTGCAATTTGATATTTGCAAGGTGCCCTAAATGACAAGGCTGGAAATTGCCAAACTGGAAAAAAAAAATTGTGAATGTCAACTTTAAGCCCTTCTCTTTGGCAGATATTATTAACTTCTTTGACAAGACACCTTTTACAATTCCACCCATAGCTTATCAGCATATGCATAATTTTTGTTTTTGTTTTTTGAGTAGAGTAATTATGAAAAAGAAAAAAAGGCATTTGTTTTGAAACATAAAAGAAAGGAACATGCTAAAACAGACAATATTTCCCCCGCCCACCTTCTAAATGGTCAGTTTCCAAAGTGATCGTTGTTGCTAATTATTTCAAAATTATTGTATTCACACACATATGCATCGTATTTCTACTTAAGCTTCCCACTTTGTAAATGCAGTGTGAGTGCGACTGCTGCTACAGTTACCAGTTCTCGAGGTAAAAGAAGATTGTTTGCCCACATAAATGCAGTGAATTGTGTTACTAATATGGGATAATTTAATCAAATGCATGAGCGAATGTTAAGGAGGTTGAGTTTTTAAAATCAAAACTGATATTGGTCTGCACTCCCAAATTGTCAAATCACTCTTTGTGTGAAGGTAATTAGCTGGTGACAGACATAAAATGTGATAGTTGACCAAGGTTGCATTAAAAAGAAGATTTGAGATCCGCTCAAGTAAAGCATCTAGCCATATACCACGCTTACCATGTGAGTGGTTTAGCTTTTCCATTCTTCTTGTAATGCTTTGAATATCGTAAAGAAAATACCAAGAGAAATGAACTGGCCAGATTATGGGGCTAGTTTGAGCGTGTTGTTCTGTAACCTTAAATGTTTACCTGGAAGAGAATTTCTAACAACATTGTTAACCTGATGTTAAGAGTTTCAGCATAGGATTGTCTCGGTGTCTCACTCGTGATGATGAGGCGTTTGAGTGTTACTTTGGAATGTCTCACTAATAATAAGGCCTAGCTAGGTTCCTTCTTATGGTTCTTCGATAGTAATTACTTCTACAAGTTTGATCTTTGAATTTGGCAATCTTCTGTTGCTTGCCCTACACAAAATTGTCTTGAGTTAATGATTATAACAACTATTGTTGGCTATTTAAAGAGTGGCTCATTGCTCGGAATTATGATTTGAGAGAGCTGAATAAGATTCACCATAAATATCTTTTTATGGTTATTTGAGGCACTTCAAATATTAACTCTTACCACCATGGGAAAACCTCATTTTTCGTAAAAATTTGTTTCAGCTTTTATATAGAAACATATTTTTTGTTAAAAAAAATATGAGGCATGATTTACTATGCTGTGTCTAGAACAGAAACTCGAACGGATGATGGGATTAATAATGTGATTAAAGATGAACAAGTTTGCCGCTTGCTGGTAGGAATGTTTGATCAACTAGGCATATTGAATTCTCAAATGCTATTACGAAGTCTAAAAGACTAAAACTATGGTGCATTATTCTCCAAATTGATTTATTTGCCATTCAATACTATGCTGAAAATTTCGTACACGTTACAAGCTATATCTTTATGAATATGCTTGGAAAAATCTCCAGTTTTGAGCAGTATCATGGCATCTAGCACCAACCCTGCAAGGTTGTCAATCTATGTAGGAACCTGGATAAATAGAAACCTGTCGATCACACAAATATAGCATTGCATCTCAACATAACACTGTTACATGAAAGGCTATCAAGGCTTGAAATAACTTTTTGCGTATCTCAATACGGCCAAGAGCAAATAAGAGCAAAAGCTATTGCAGCTCTATATATATATATGTAATGCAGACACAAAAAATACAATAACACGCAACCAATTTTCATAACAGAAACACTTACCTAAGTTGTCAAGTTCCACGAAGGGAACGGACACGATTTTGAATCAAGTTCCTCTCCCAGTCTGCTATATTCTCAAATGCATATTCTGGAAGACTCTCAAATGGCTCCTTCCATGGATCATTCTTAGCCAAATCATAAGTAGCTCCTCGTATTGCTTTTCTATTCGGTCCACAAGGTCTCTTTGATGTCAGCATATCATATGCTGCATTTAGCTGTCCAAAGAAAAAAAGTCACACCCATTTGTGAATGAATTAACACTTCTCATTTAAGAAAACTGTGAACCAATCTATCACAGTGTCACACTGATTTAATAGTGTTTTGTTCTACTCTCAGTAGCTTGCAGAACCACACCGCCAAGAGGATGGTGTGAAACCATAACACTCATGATATGTTAAATAAGTGGTATGGAAATTGTTTCTGGATTCAAAGAAAAGGAAAGGGTTTAGTACTCACATTCATGCTACAAAACCAGAACAAATAAGCAATTGCCACAGCCGGAGCTCTACCAAGTCCAGCAGTGCAATGCACATAAACTCTTCCTTTTCCCTCAGAAATTGCCCATTCCAAGGATGAGACCGCTTTAGGTAGTTCACTTCGCAAGGAGTTTGGATCAAAGTCTTTTGCCTAATAGTGTAGATAAAAAAATATACCAAAATGTGAATGACAATGAACTTAGAACAATTCCAGAGTCAGGATAACTTTACTGTAGCATTAAAGGTATATGGATCATTGAGGTGGACATAGAGATTAAACTAGTCATGACAACTCAAAACTCTACTTCCTAATGACATTATGCAAGTCAATGTAGTATGCTGTCTATATTGTCACAGAATGCATGACAGTTTCTTTTTCTCTCAATAAGTTTACTGAAAATGGGCTTGCTTACCGGCCTCCTCATGTGCCTAATTTCAAGTTCACGACACTTTCTTATTATTGACTGCAAGTCTATTCCCCAGTATTCAACATCATTATCCTGTTGCAAGTTTAGAATGTATGCAACACCCTCTTCCTTTTTGAGGTGATCTACGTCTTCTGGTTTCTGTGGTTGAGAGCCCACAATCAAATAGTCAGTTATAAGTGTGTAATTCATGCCTGAAATCAAGAATGACTGGTTGCATCAGTTGAATGACATAGTAGATCTTACCATACATAAATGAAAAATTAATGAGAAATAATTGGTTTTTTAAGGGCCATTTACATCAATTGCAAAACTTAAAGTCTATAGTAATCAAAATTAAACTTTACGCAGTAATCATATGGCATAGGCTTTGCATTTTACAACTGTGCCCCTTTACCATTTAACAGAAGATAACCCCTCCAATCTCGCCACATCATAGAGCATGTGAAATCCTCAATCTCTCCACTTTTTTTGTGTGTTGTGGGTGTATCACCCTCTCCAATTTTATGGTAACAGAACAATTTAATACAATAATTGAACATAGCAAGCATAAACCAGCATAATGAAGGACAATAATCATATTGTCGTGTGTCTATCTAGCACCATCAAGTAATGCAACAGTAATTACGAAAAACTCATCTGCAAGACCATTCATCCCACACAAACACACCCTCACATTTCTTAATAACATGATCATATCAAACAGAGGTAGCATTTCATGGAGCAAATAGGCGCAGCAAAAAGTACTAGGTAGCAAATGTCAAATGTTGTGGGAGAACAAAATAGGATAAAAATGAAACTACTGACCCAGATCATGGTGATACTCGTAAGGGTTCCTCATCATCCTTTTCATGGCTATATTGTATTCCTCCATCCTGTCCTTGGATTTAGAGGCTCTCTTGCTTGTGGGGTTCTCCTCAATCCCACTTTCTGATAGTTTACAACAGATTTGACTCAGCCTAACAGAGTAGTTAGGAGGAACCATAAAACTGTAAGGCGATTTATGCTTCCTTTGATTTGAAAGTACTTGCGTGCCCAAAGCAGCTTTCGATGCTGAAGGGAAGCCAATGCTACCAATAGTTCCCATCTCTGCTCGCTTCTCTTGTTTGTTTGTTTCTTAAGGTTGATTTTATTATATGACATGATGATGAAGTCATTTTGACCAAAACGCCCTTGGATACTTACCCTTTTTTCAAATATGAGATTAGGGAGGATATTTTGACTACCAAAAGTTTCTACTACCACCTTACTACCTATCTAATCACCATTGGATTAACATTTCTCTCTTTTCAAAAACTTTTTAACATTCTCTCTCTTTGATCCAATGGTGATTTGATAGGTAGTAAGGTGGTAGTAGATATTTTTAGTAGTCAAAATATCCCCTCCACAAGTAATACATACAACATCTTTGTACGACAAAAGCACACACAACTAATGTTAGTATAATGATCGGTCAATACTCAATAATACAAGTTCATAACCAGAAAATTCAAGAATAGACACCAAGACATCAAAATTTGTCAACATTTGGTTTATGTATGCATATATAACTTATAAAGCGTTCATCATTTCATAATTTAGATACTTTTGCTCAACTTTCTTAGTTAAATATTATAATATATTCACAAGCTCTCAAAAGTAATAGGCAGTGTATTATCTTGTAAAGTGGAATACTTTGTAACAACCATGCAAACTCCAGTCTATAATAAGGGTCTTTATTGTGAACACGCATTTAATATTCTCCAAAATCTATTTAAAAGGAACATTGCGAATTCTCATTTGCCTATCAAATGGCATTATATGTTGAACACGATGCATCTCAAATACAGCTGATAATTCTTTTGATTTCCTTTTTCATCTATTAATGAAAGAGGTTCGAGCTAGCTACAATAATTACAACTTACAAAAAAAGAAAAGAAAAAACATTAACTATATGGGGCATGTGAATGTTGGGTAGGAGCTGATGGAGGAGCAAATTGGGCCAGTGCACATTACTCAAATATATTTTTGTCTCCAATAAGTTGATTTTCGAACATTGCTTATGTTAGCTTCATTTGAAAACAAATTATTTAAGTCTCTCTTATAATATCTTCCATATCTTCGTAAAAATCCAATGACATCGCATACACAACAACACTCCCAACATTTATTTATTTCATCATGTACATAATTCACCTATTGTGCTTGTGAAGTTTCAATATAGGAATTATACTCTTCAGGCTAATACGTCGAGAAAAATTGAATGAATTAAATTATCATGCATCCTTTGGGGTTCATGTCTCTTGTTGTCAGCTTTCTAGCAAGCGAGAAAATGACGACCACACTGAGAAATTCATATTAGACTTGACGCATGATTATGAAGATATCTCTTATGTTTATATAAAAATCGAGGGAATTGGTAGCGCTGAAGACCCTCTTTCTTTTTTCTTTTTTTTTGATAACAGAAGACCCTCTTTCAAATGAGTTTGATAAGGTTTATGGTAGCAAGTAGCAACCATGACCTGCAGGGAAAGAACATTGCCTTGTATAATTAATGTTCAAGAACTGGAGCTAGTCCAATGTGATTTGCTTAGAGCATGTTTGACACAATTTTTTTTAAAGATAAAAGTTATTTTAAGCTAAAGTAAAAAAAAAATTAAAAAATAATGCTAAAAGCTGTTCTAATGATTTTGAAGGAGAGAAAATGAAATAATTTGTTATTGGAAAAAATATTTGTTCTTTTAAATGACACAACTTACATCTTTTCACTCTTACGAAGAAGTGGGACCCACACCTTTATTTTTTTTGTCCACTCTCTTTCCTCCTTTATTTATCTCTTTCTCTCACTTAAAATGACACAACTTTATATTCTTTAAAATGACACACACTTTACCCTTTGTTATTATGATGAATTATTAGGATAAAAGATAAAATTTAGGAAAAAGTTCAAATACCCTCTTGTGCTTTGAAGCCCTGTTTGACACCTCTCTCTCTCTCTCTTTAAGTTAAAAGCTATTTTTAAGCTAAAATTAAAAAAGAACTTTAAAAATAAAGCTACAAGCTATTTGATGATTACATAAAATTTTTAACTTAAAAATTACTTAAAAGTTATTAATTAAAAAAAAAACACATAATTCAAAAAAAGTTCATAAAATTTTAAAAAAAAAGCTCATTTTAAGAGCTTTTGCTTTTTGACTTTTTTTTTAATTATAAAAAAAAGCAAAGCCACTAAAATTGATTTAGTGGTGAGAGGTTTGAGTAGTTTGTATTAGGTTATGTGTTCAATTTTCTCCAATGTATCAAAAGAAGAAGAAGAAGAAGCTCTTTTTATTATAAGAGCTTTTGTAAAAACTTGTTTGACCTATCTTTTACTTATAAGGAGAAAAGAAGCTAAAAGAAGACCTTCCAAACAGGCACTAAATCACTTACCTCCTTATGTTTTTTTTTTTTTTTATTTATCATTTGCCTATGTGCTTTTTTTCATCCAAGCCCCTCCTTAACAATGTTAGAGTTTCTAATTAATATGACTATTTTACCCTTCTTACAAAGATACACTTCAGCTGCCTGGTGTCATCTTTTTCCCCAAGCTTTACAAGGGAGTTTAACATACAAAATTTCTCTAGTTTCAAACAAAATTTGTAAAGTTCATATAATAAGGTAATGAGAACAAAAAGTCAAAAAAATCATTAGAAGTTAAACCTGTATATTTGAGCCATTATTTTTTGGCACAAAATTATGCTTTAATAGCTTTCATTGATAGAGAGTTCGTAAATTCATTTACTGATAGTTTACTCTATTAAATAGTAACCAGTTACATAAAGATATAACTAACCGTATAATTCTTGCACTGTACAACATGTAACTTTAATTTTTTTTTTGTGGATAATGCAACTATAAATTTCTAATTTTTTAAGATACCATACATATTTAAATTTCTTTTTTCCTCCTTATATGATGATTAAAGATATTTTTTTTATTTTTTTTATTTTTTTCCGCACATTCTTTTTTCTCGTAAAAAATATCTTTGGCATATTTTTTCTTTTGGCAGAATCTTTTACAAATTCTAATTAATAAAATCAAGTTCATCAACATGAAAGCTTCAATCTTTACCTTGAGCCATTATATGTGTAATGTCTCGTCTTGATTTACGGTTTGTTAGCGTGAAAAATGGTATATAAGCGCATCATACATGAAATAATTAGCGGGAGAATTCATGAAAGTTTCCCTATTACACATGGTTAATTTCGTGAGATAACTTTTTCTTTTTTATTTCTCCTTACGTATTGTCATATGAACTATACTTGTCTTATTTATATGAATTGTACTGGCCATATATGTACATAATCATTGCTTGAATTCCTGTGACCATAATTGATGGTCAAAGACTATACGAATATGATAACAAGTACCAATTCAGACAGTGTCAAACGGGCAGCATAACGGCTGTAAATTTGACTAATCTAGGGATAAAATCTCACATTTTAACCTGTCACATGAAATACATAAAAGATCAATCCAATATACAGATACTAAATATGGCTCCATGCTATTGCAAATATCATATACTTGACTTGACCACATACACACATACCCATATATGCTGATAACTGAAACATGTCACTGAATAAATATGTACTTGCCTGAATGACCTAATATACATACAACTGTCTAATCATGTATCTCAAAATAATAACAGACCATAAAAAACAGTGATTGGGCATACATCATGAGCCAAAATAATATATATATAATTTCCAAAAAGAAACTACGTGCATGCTCCAACAGAGTCCACTAGCCCTAAACAGACCTCTTGCCCTGAGAAGGATCTCTTACTCTGGAGTACTTGAAATATGTCCACAAACGAGGTAAGATAAAAATCTCGTAAACTCAGAGTTTATGGAGTGATTTTCCGCCCATGAGTTCACTTCCCGCATGAAAGGTCAAATAACATGGTATAGAAGTAATTCATATACGAGAGACTTCTAGGGGATGTATCTCGCAAAGAAATCCAAACAAATGCTTCTGAGAACTATAGTACCCACAGAAATCATACATGGTAATCCAAAGGCTTGGTCCCTAAGGAACATACTTCTAGGAGTTGGATCCCGCAAAGAAGTACAAACAATCACCTTTGAGAACCTAAGTCTTCACGGAGTCATACGTGGTAGTCCATGAGTTGTATCCCTATGGACCTACTTCCAAGAGTTGTATCCCGTTGGAAGATCACACATCTATGCGTTCACTGGCTATGAACCATAATTCTACACATCACATCATAACATGAAATGTCTTATATGAATGCAATTATTCTACGTATCTAACATTCATCAACCACGCATACATGAAACCATAGTCCCAATGGACCTGTGGTGGAACAATAGAGTAGGATAAGACTCCTAAACCAAGAGCTTACCTCTTAAAGCTCCTAAGCCAACACTTGCTTGAAGACCAAGAAAGCTATCTACACCACTTTTCACTTGCCTTGTACTCAAAAAATCACCTATTGCACATAGGATATTGGAAACATGAATACTCGTCATAAATCACACATTGACCTAATGGTCAAAATACCAAATAGCTTATGGTTTCATAAACTTACCCTATCCTTGAATAAATAAGAACTAGGGCATCCAATGCTTGACTAACTTGGAACTTGATCTTCCAAGGTTAAGTCCCTTGATTCAACACTAATACCATGAACAAAAATATCATCAATCACCAATACACATGTAACATGCAATTCAAGAAACCAACACATTTGTATGCTAATTTCGAAAATAAACATGACGATTCACATGGTTATTATTGTTACACTTTTCCTGCCAATTCATGCCACAAAAACAAGTCATAGCCAATTATCTAATTTGCCCATGATTTGTCACATAATTCTTGATTAAGTTTACATATTACATGATTTACATAAACACTAGGCCAAGCTAGGTTTTAACACCCTAAACTCACTTGATATATGCCTAGTACTTGCTTTAAAACATGAACTTAAATTTAGCAAACTTCCTTGCCTATTTTTCTCACCATGGCCGAAGCCATGCATATCATGAAGCATCAATTTTTCTTGGTTTTTAACACCATCTCATAGTCCATCCAACATTGGCATGTC